GGCTTTCAGTGAATGCAGAAGAGTGGCAAAATATTATAAATTTATCTGACATGTTCTCCCAGAGAGGAAAACAAACAAACAAACAAAAAAAAGACTAGTTTTGGAATGAATTAAATCAATTAAAGTATACTTCTCAATGCCAGTGTTAAGTCAAAATATCATTGTTTTGACACCTGGATGATTATAACACACCAGCAGGAACAGAATAGCAACAGGGAAAGATCATAAATATGGGAAAAGCTCAAACAAGGTTCCTTCCTTACAAGAGTGCATGGCTCTTGCATTCCGTGTTTCTACACTAGAAACACATGGAGCTATTTTGTAACATTTAGTAACATATCTAATTCTGGGGGCAGTTTATTAATGTAATCTAAACACCATGCTGGATTTACATTCAGGTATACATCCACGTATCCCTAACAGAAGAATCCGGCCACTGCTTATTTCATGCCAAAAATCAACAATAAAAACAACAAAAACAAAGACCTCTGTAAGCAGCATGAGTGGATTCTTTATGGAAAGGAAAAAAAAAAGGCTGAAAGAGCTCTCACAGACAGTACTGTGATAACCCATCAAAAGAAGCAAGAGAAATGGAATCCATCTGGACAGGCTTCATTCACGTACTAGAACAATATATATCCAAAGTCTTTATTACAAGGCTGAGATTTTTTATTCTGGCATCACATGCACACAGTTGAAGGACTAGGCACTGCCCAAATAAATTTCTATTTTATCTCTGATTTATTCTTAAAACAAAGATCAGTCAAGGGTCTCTTGAAAATCCAGAGAACAGTGATTTCACAATCAGTGAAAGATATTTCAGCCAGGACATACCTTTCAAATCCTGCTGCACGTTTCCTCCTTTCTGGGATAGTCGCTGGGAAGGGAGTCACTTTCTTCTCCATTGCCCTTGGAACTTTAATGAGTATTGCTTTGGTTTATTTCAAGAGAAGCAATTGCAAAGCAAACAAAGTGTCTCACAAGACACTACAGAGAGAAAAATCTGGGCAACACAGAAAAAATGCTGTGAAGTAAAATTTAAAAATGGAAAGAAAAGTATAGGTGAGGTATATTTCCATATAATTTCTTCCATGATTCTGCTGCTCCATCTGTTTTGTCTTTGACATCTACGACTCGCAATTTATATTCCATCCCTATGCTTGGAAATTGCTATCCATGAAGTGAAGGTTAAAAAAAAAAAAAAAAAGTAGAACTGAGCGAGGAAGAGATGAAGGGGTGCAGGTAGGAAGAGATCTATTGTAAAGGTGTCCAAAGGAGAGATGGAAATGTGTTCCCCAAGGTCATGGTCTTCCATGGAGCTGCTTGTGTCTTCAAGCTGTTAAATACAAGTGCAGCAGGTGTACAAGAAGAGCCAAATTCCACAATAAGTGCAAAATCTCAAATGCAGAAGCCATCACACCAAGGGTTTCCTTGTCCTCCAAGGAAGTTCATCCACAGTGGTTCTCTAGAAACAGTTCTATCATCAAGTAGACATCCATTGCTTTTTTTTTTTTTTTTTGCTTTTTTTTTTGTATTTTTATTTAAAAAGTAACTTTTTCTAATAATATATAGATTATATAAATAATAATAATTAAAAAAAACTATTTGGGTTTGCTTTCATGTTCTCCAACCCATCTCTATTTTACGTGGTTTGCCAATATATATATTAAAAGAGAAGAAAATCAACTCTGCTCACTATTTAAAAAAATATTAAATCCACCTTTTATGTTTCCAGAGAGAAAGAGAAGGGGGGGAGGTGGGAGAAGAACAAATTAAAATGAAAAAAAAGAAAAAGAAAAAAAAAAAAACAGGAAAATCAAAACCTTCTGTCTCTTCAAAATGGTTGTCAAGAACTTTAAATGCTTGTGCTTTCAGTGTACACCCCACAGGAAAAACAACAAAAACAACATCAACAATAACAAAAAAAAAAACAAAAACAACAAAAAAAAAAACACCCAAGGACCTAAAATTAAAAAAAAAAGATAATAATTCTAGTAGTAAAATGGACAGCAAATTGCTCAGAGTTTGTGTCTTTTTAGTTAATTTAGCAGCCGCCCTTTTTGTCTGCAGAGGGAGAGCTGCTACCACAGCCACCTCCTCGGCTCGAGAGAGGCTCTTCTGCATCATCCTCGTCAAAGCCATGAAAGGTCGAGGTGTCGCTTTCTGACGTGGAACCGAACAAGTCCTCCGTAGTGCGTGTTGGCGCTGCTTCGTCCCTCCTGCCTTCTCTTCCCAAATGAGCTGACATGTATGATGAATATATCAGCACATGGGTTAAGCAACAGGCATCATCATCATCATTTTTTAAGTATCATTACTATTAAACAATACAGACTATCAAGCTTATAGGTGTGTGTTTGCACGTGCCCGTGTACCTCAACAACATGCCTTGGTAGAACCGCAGTAAGAAAAATAAACAAGGATCGGTTTCTCTTTCAAAGAAAAAAAATCTACCAATAACACAGGTGCCCATAGCCATGGCAGCGAAAGGGTTAATCGTATTTTCCTCTCTTCAAAAACATTAACATATTTTCTCGTGATTACTTAGATCAATTTTAAGAGATATTTATCACATATAAGTAATTAGACACCATTAGCTCTAAGCACAATGACTGTCCTTCAGACTGGCATCACCTTTTACAATTTTACTGCTATTGAAATGTGACCCATTAGACATCTCATCAGCCTCAAGACTTTTATCCCTGTCCTTCACCTGATCCCGAAGAGCCTCCTCTATAGACAAAATGACATACGTTTTGAAGACTAAGCAAAAGTAAGCTAAATAAATACTTCTATTCTGATTTCATGGTATCTCCTTCAAAAATACCACCACCACCCCCAACAAACAACAATTCAACAACTAAATCAACTGAGAAGAGATCTATCATGGGAAATACTGAAAAGTGCAAGAGTATGTTAATCCAACTTTCAATATGGAACAGGTAATTCTCCACACAGAACATCAACAGCAATAACAACAATAGCAACAAAATGATTAATAGTAATAACGTTCAGAATCTCTCTCTAAGAAAGACAGAAAAAAAAAGATGTCTCTTGTGCCCCAGCAAATGAGTGTCGGTTTGTAGGGGACAGCTGTTTTTTAACTCAGAAACACTAACATGACATTAAGTAACCGTTTGGTCTTCACTCCAGCTACAGGAATCAGCCATATAACTGCATGGTTAAGTAAACCGCTTTGCTTGAGAAACAAAGAATTAAATCCTGTTCACAAAACGAAAGTGGATGTAACAAAATAATTGGTAGATGAACCACCTTATAGAGATGTGATTTTAGTGGCTTTGAGAAGGGAAGAAACAAGATGATTTCCACAACATCTCTTTCAGTATAATGAAAATGTTCCCCATTATCAAGAAAGAGGAAGATGGACACCAAAGACTTTTCATTGTTTTAGTTTACAGATTAGTGTGTGGTTGTACCTTAATCACTTCCATCACACATCAGTCACATCATTGCAGACCCTTATGAATGACCCAGGGTGGGTCAGAATTTGTACAAGGATAGCATTTAATGGAACTGATTTTGCACAATTTAGGTTACATGCGGATCTACTTGTTCCACCACACTAAGCCATCAAGGAAATTAATGTATTTGTATTTCATTCTGATATAATCACCATAGCAATGTTTAAATAGCAAAAAGTATGGATCTGTCTCACTGTGCAGTCTCAGGACAATGCAGAAATAAGTTATATTGAACTACAGCAATCAAGGGGAATGGAAATGATCTTCCAAGTTGGCACCACAGACCGCATGAGACTTTCCCTTTAAGTATTAAGAAGCAAACACGTATCACTAAAAGGTCCATGTTACTGTCTGTGCAGCATTCTTTGGGATGCCTCTGGAGAAAACCAAAAGGTTCGCCACTGGTCCCCTGGTGACCAGTCAGTATCACTTCAGAACATCTTCAAAGGTCACAACAACTGCAGAAGGCAATTTGCCAGTGAGAGTCTAATCCTGCTCCCACTGAATTTGACTAGAGGTTTACTATGAATTTCAGTGGGAGTATGAGCAGGCCATTCATTCAGTACAAGAACACTTCACTTTGCACTTCAGCCATCACAAAACAAACATCTTTCAGTGACCATAGTACAGAAATAGCAGCAATACTGAATTTCAAGATCTCTTTTGTTTCCACATTTACATTTGAAATTCTTATCACCATTAGTATCACCACTGCCCACAAATAACACAACTGGAAACTTGGGCCTAAGTTGGAATATGCAGTTATTAAAGGTCTTCCATTTCCTCTACCATTGCCACCACCTCTCACATGAGCTATAAATAACTGTTCAGCTGGGATAAAGTTTTTTTTAAAAAAAAAGAAGAAAAAGAAAAAGAAAAAAAAGAAAGGAAGAAAGAAAACAACAGTCCAGAAATAAAGACAATCCAGAATGGAAAAGACACAACTGCCTACATTTAAAAAGAGTGAAGGGAAGAAAATGGAGAAATAAAAATGTCTTTAAACAAAATTGATGATAGTCATCTTGTAAGAGGATAATTCTTGACAGCTACCCCCATTCCTACCCTGTAATTTCCTCCCTCTTTCTTTTTTGGATGAAAAAAATGCATGAAATGTGTAATCAATGGAAATGCTTGTCATGCAACTTTCATAAATCTTGTAAGTAATTTATAGTTGTAATTGCAGCATTTAAGACAGAGCCCATTCTTTAACATTGTTTTAGGGTCTTCTCCTTCTGTTAAAGGAAGAACTAGTACATGTACCAAAGTTTGTAGAAGTCAATAAATACATTAAAATTTTATTACTTCATAAGATCTCATTAGCTTAAAATTGTGAATCCAAAAATGTTTTTATGACAGAAAATTTCCCAACCATCCTTTGCCATAAACACAGACAAGAGGTAAGACCTTGTTTTCTATTCCCTCCCAAATGTGCTGGCTTTCTTCAAAATCTTCAGGAGCAAAAAAAACAGAATACAAACACACATTTATATAAGAAAGCTGCAAGAAGAAGTCACCTACCAGAGCGCCCACAGTCTGAGCACGACACAAGTTCCTCAGGCCGGCCACTTTTTTTGTTCATATTGGAGCCTCCAAGGCAGAAGTCACAGTAGTTATTGGGAATGATGACCCCATCTGGTCCTTTCTGGGCTGCAGTCAGGTTAGAAATCAGATTTACTTAAAGAGCATTCAGTTTGGATATTTCCCCCTTTTCTTTGATATGATGTTAAATTGGTGAGTTTGCAGGCCACACAAAACACTGTCAGTTAGAACAGAAAGTGAATTCTGTGAATCACCTCCATCTCAGGTACACCAACCGTATGCTTTAGCTATTTTGTCTGCACTTCACCATTTCCTTTACAATGCAGCTGGTCTGGTCCCTCACCAAGACCTGCTGCCAGAGATCCCTGAACAGTTCAGGGAATTCATAATACACACAAGTATATAAACAATCCCTAATGCAGAATCAGACCTGAGCTGTCAGTAAGCCAAGCCTGGCTTTTCAGACAGCAGCCATAAACGTAAACACACAAAGTACAATTTCAGAAAGGAAAAGCACATTCCCCAAAACTCCAAAACCCACAGCACAGAAACCTAACCGGGTTTATTTCTAAAGCTTTCTTTTTGAAGAGATTACATCTCAAAGCTGTGGAGTCTCCTCATTCAAAAAGTTCATAGTCGCAGTCACTTCTGGGTGATGGACCCAGGCTCACACTACCTGCAGTAGACTGTGCATGCCCAGGAGATGAGGGCAAGGCAGCAAGTCTGGCCCAAGTGAGCATCCAGCACAGGTGCAAAGAGTTGGCCAAGGGTGGAAGTCTAAGCTGCTGAGATAAAAACTTCAGCCAAGAAAAAAAGGAGGGAATCTGAGTTATTTTCCAGCTAGGGATAGCTATAAAGGAGAAAACATACAGTGGATCTTAAGTAGAGGGGAAGTCTGTTCCCCTAGAAAAAAGAGATAGGCAGACATATTTTGTATTCTCAGGTTGAACAAAACATCAGTGCTTTATTTCCTTCTTCACAGCTGCCATTTTCCTCCTTTACTCTCCAGAGAGAGAGAACTTATTGTTTCTGCCTAACCAGGAGCTTGGAAAGGTTTAGAGTGGAAGGAATGGTCAGCATGGTCTATGTTTTTCCTTTTTTTAACTTAAAAATTCTAGCAGTATATCTGACCTAACCCTACTCCATGTAGATTGCTACAAACCAGAAAAAATGAAGACCTTTAAACTGTGCCATCTATATTTAATTATCTTTTTAATGCATATTTTGTAACTTGCAGATTTTTAACAGATGTTCTGACAGCCTTTATTGATGGTCTTTTTGTCCACATTCAAATTTCCCCTGAAGAACAATGACATTTTAAAGGGCTTCTGGTAGCACTCCAAGACACACACTTAAAATTAAATTTTTCTCAGAGTTCAATCGGTTGTTGGATTGGGTGCATCTATTTATTCATTCACTTCCAGCTGTTGATTATCTGAGCTTTTTTGGAAATTGGTAGCCGAAAGACTGCAAGTAAGGTGAAAATAAGAAAAAAAATTTAAAAACATAACACTGCAAATACACCATTATCTTCCCACACAATCACCAAGTCCCTGATGTATTTACAAAACAATGGGTTTTACTCTGATATGGTGCTGTTAAGATCTTCAGTTCTCCCAAGAACAGACATAAGCTCCCACTCTTTGGTTAGCATTTTGCCATTTCGCAGAGAGGCATTTAAGACACGTGTGCAAGATAAGCAAAAAAGAACAGCAACCAGGTGGAAGCCTGGCACATCGATTCATTTTAAGAGCTGTAACAAAATGGTCATAAAGTTGCTGCTTGTACTCTTTTTTTTCTTTCTTTTTTTTTTTCCTTTTTTTTTTTTTTTTGTTTAAATAGCAGATCTCCCTAACATTTATTTTTCCCACAGCAGCCCCGTTCTGTGAAAGTTAAGTAATTATTTCTTTATATTTTGCTCCATCTACAGTGGTTGTACACAACACAAACTCAGCAAGCCCAGCAGTCAGTGATTTTTTTGCTCCTTATTACCTCACTTCTCATGTGAATTCCTTAAAATGCCTTACAGATACTTAGAACCCAATATTAACCCTCAGTGAAGACAGAAGTTTTCTTTTTGCTGGGCCCTAATTAAACTTCATGGTGAAGAGGCACTGCTGGATTTTACAGCTGAAAAGCCTAGTAGAAACCAGCTTCCTCAAAAACACACAAGAATTCTGTGGTGAGGCCACAAATAAAAATAGTCATCAAAGGTGTCTGCCAGCACCATAATAAGAAAAGAGCTCTACTATCACGGTGCAGAATCATATAATTGATTTAACACTCAACATATGCTGACTTAAATTTTTCCAGTGCAGCTCATGAGCTTAAGATCTACCAACAGTCAATCTGGAAATAGGACAGGGGATCTCATGAAAATACGTGCACTGATCAATTTGTCTATGGTGCATTGCACAGGCGGAGGGTTTTCACTGCCTGTGATGCTATTGAGGAGGTTCTCCTAGACTACAGACAAGTGAATAAGTATGCTTTTTAATAACTTCTTTTTCCTTTTTTTTTCCTTTCCACTTTAATTTTTTATGTCTGTGTTTATGTGCTCATCTGTTGCTTGTCACTCACAAATATGGACACCATATATGAAAAGCTGTACACAGATTAGAAGTTCTGAAGTTACATCAATGTTGTCTTAAACATTGCATGCATCTTCATAGCCAAATAATTCAGTACGGGCAATGTTAGCCTCTCCAAAGCTTTTTCATCCTAACAGGTGCAACAACTGGAATGAAACTTACGTCAAGCTTGATCAGTACTGTTCAGTGAATTAAGCCCCAGGCTAAATCACAGAAGGTTTGAGAATGAAGAGACTTGCAGATGACAGTAAGCAACCTGAATTCTTACTTTCAAATGTTAGCTTTTTTTTTTCCTTGGTTTTGTGTGTGTGTGTGTGTGTGTGTGTGTGTGTATGTATGTGTTCATGTCCTTGCAGTTTTAAGTTCTATTTTACTGCAATTCACAAATGAGGAAATTAAGAAACAAAGCGAAGATAGAAAGATATAATGTACAACATTCATGAGAAGCATATCATACACCAAAAGTGCAGCCCTAATTCCACCTCTTAATCAATAAAACTACTCACAAAATAAGTAAGGGAATGGATGCATAAGTGAAAGCAATTAAATTACTGGAGACTAATGTGTTGCTACTTTTCATTTGAGACATTGTAATTAACTAGGAATACACTTTTCTCACACATAAATCACAAAGTAGAAGGTGTCAGCTTAAGCCACATGATGGCTCAGCTAATGAGAAGTAACTCACCTAGGTGTGCTAGCTCAATCATTTTGATTGTGCCACTATAACCAAGGATTTTGTCTAAAAATGCTCACACAGATTCAGAAACTGTTTTAAAGTAAAGCTTTGAAAAACAGCCATGGTTTTGTCCTAACTTACGCAAAACTCTTCTGATTTTCTTTTACATTACAAACTGCAAAAACAGATCAAAAGCTTTGTGGAGCTTTGAGGAGTACTGCCTGAGCTAAGGTGTTCTCATAGGGGGGTGTACTTAAATCAGTACCTCTTGCCATTTCAACTTGGTCTCACTTTCTTGTTTCATCAAAGGCCCTGTCTTTATCTACATCTGCTCTCAAATAAGGAGTATACTGCTTTTTAAAATACTTTTTAAAAATGCATTAGGGAAGATCTGCACAGGTCAGATGATGGTTTCACTGTACCTGAAAGCTGATTCAAGTGAAGATAGGAGTCTGAAAATGAAGCCACTATTTCCAAATAACTTTGGAATGCTTTTACGCTGAAATACATTCCTTCATCCTGGCCTAATCAAGTGAATTTCAAAGTATATCACGCAAAGCTGAATAAATTTCTTATTAAAATATAGTAACATTATTCACAGGAGTCCTCCTATAAAACAGGTACTGTAAATTAATTCTATAGGATATTACACAGTAACTTTGCTCTGTAGACAAAACCTAAAGAGCTAAACAAATTGACTGAATTTAAATGTTTAAGATAATCACATAATCATAGAATGGCTTAGGTTGGAGAGGACCTTAAAGATCATTCAGTTCCAACCCCCTACCGTGGGCTTCTATCCACCAGATAAGAGTACCTGGCTCTGAATGCCTCCAGAGATGAGGCATCTACAACATCTCTGGGCAGCCTGTGCCAGTGCCTCACCACCCTAAGTAAAAAATTTCTTCCTAACATCTAACCTAAATCTCCCCTCTTTTAGGTTAAAAAATCATTCTCGCTTGTCCTATCGCTATTCAGACCATGTGAAAAGTCGGTACCCCCTCCTGCTTGTAATCTTCTTTCAAGTACTGGGAGACTGCAGTGAGGTCTCCCTGAAGCCTTCTCTTCCCACAAGCTAAACAAATTCAGCTCCTCAACCTTTCATCATACGAGAGGTGCTCCAGCCCTCTGACCATCCTTATGGCCCTCCTCTGGACTTGCTCCAACTGCTCCACATCCTTCCTGTACTGGAGATTTCAGGCTTGGACACAGTACTCCAGATGGGGTCTCATAAGGGCAGAGTAGAAGAGGACAATCCCTTCCCTCTCCCTGCTGGCCACCCCTTTACTGATGCAGCCCAGGATACAGTTGGCCTTCTGGGCTGCAAGCTCATGTCAGCTTTTTGTCCATCAGGACCCTGAAGTCCTTCTCTGCAGAACCAGTTCCTCTCCCAGTCTACATTCATATCTGAGATTGTCTCAACCCAAGTGCAGCACCTTGAACTTGGCATTATTGAACTTCAATAAGTTCTCGTGGGCCCACTTTTCAAGTGTGTCCAGTTCCCTCTGGACAGCATCCCTCCCTTCTACTGTGTCAACAATAATTTCAAATAATATAACTTCCGCGCTTTCTTGATTTTGAAGGTAGGGGTTCTGAACAGAATTCTAGCTTCCCTTCTTCTCTCCCAAAGTAATCAAAGAAACTAGAAATTACATTCCCTCTTTAATAATTAAAAAGCTGCCTGTAGTGAAATAACATCAAGAAATTAGGATTTTTCTTTTCAACATCATCTTCTGGAGCCTCAAAACACAGTAAGAGTCTCAGTTTCTACCTCTCATGGCTGAAGAGAATACTTAGAATGAAAGGCAAGTTCAAAAGAAACAACTTTTGCCCCTGTT